TTAGCATTTCTTTCACCCATTCCTCACGTGCCATGGCCTCTAAACATCCTGATTGTTGTCCTCTGAACATACTCCAGCTCATCAATGTCTTTTTTTATAATCTGGTGCCCAGAACTCAAGTAACTAGCAAAGAACTGATACCTGACAGTTAAACTAGTTATTTAAAACATGGGACCAAGGAGTCAAAAGCTAAGCTGGAGGTTACATAAGGCAAATGTTCAGTTTTTGAAGGTTGCTTAGGACAGGTAAGCATCATTGGGTTAATCAATAAATCAAAGATGAAGTGTCTACTATGTGTGAGGTGCTGTGCTAAGAGCAAAAGGATACAAAAAAAAAAAAATGGCCAAAGGAGGGTCCTTGCCTTCAATGAGCTGATAGTTTAATGGAGAAGACAACACGCAAACAAATATATGCAAAGTAATCTATGTGCAGCATAAATAGGAAATAATTAACAAAGGGAAGCCACTAGAATTAAGAGGAGTTGGTGAAGGCTTCTTTAGGAAGGTGGGATTCTGGTTGGGACTTAAAGGAAGCCAGGGAGGTTGGCAGTCAGAGTGAAGGAGGGGGAACATTCCAGGCTCGGAGGACAGCCAGAGAGAATGTCCAGAGCCAAGAGATGTTCAAGTCTTGTTCGTGGAACAGCCAGGATGTGAGTCTAATTGTACTGAAGAAAAGGTGTCAGGGAGTAGGGTGGAAGAAGACTGGAAAGGGAAGAGAGGGCTAGGTTATGAAGAGCTTTGAATGCCAAAAAGAGCATTTTGTATTTACTCCTGGAGGCAATAGGGAGCCACTGGAGTTTATTGAGTAGGGGAGGGTGACATGTTCAGAACTGCATTTTAGGAAAATCACTTCAGTGGCTGAATAAGAAATGGACTGGAATGTGAGGTGATGATGACCTGCTCTAGAGAAGGGTCAGTGTAGTGGAGAGAAGGGGGCATATTGGAGAGATGTTGCAAAGGTGAAATCAATAGGCCTTGGAAACAGTTTGGATGTGGGGAAGGGGCAGAGGGAGGGGAAGAGATAGTGAGGAATCCACTACAACTTCTAGGTTTCAAGCCTAAGGGACCGAGGATGGTGTTGCCTTTTACAGTAATAGGGAAGGTAGGAGGTAGGAGAGGGCTTAGGGGGAAAGATAATGAGTTTAAGATGTCTAGTGGACATCTAGTTGAAAATGTCTGAAAGCCAGTGAAAGGCACTCTCCCAGAGAGACTGGGGCAGGCAAGGTAGATTTGAGAATCATCAATATAGAGATGGTAATTAAATCCATGGGAGCTGATGAGATCACCTAGTGGAGTGGTATAAAAGCATCAGAGAAGAGGGCCCATGACAGAACCTTGAGGGACACCTATGGTTAAAGGTTGTGATCTGGAGAAGGATCCAGCAAAGGAGACAGAGAAGGAGCAGTTGGATAGGTAGGAGGAAAACCAGGAGAGAGGGGGTATGCCAAAAATCTAGAGAGAAGAGAATATCAAGGAGGAGAGAGTGATTATAGTGTCAAAGGCTGCAGAGAGGTTGGGGGAATGAGGATTGAGAAAAGGCTATTGGATTTGGCAACTAAGAGATCATTAGTAACATTGGAAGGAGTAGTTTTGGTGGAATGATGTTCAAAGTTGAATTTTTAGGTCTAGAAGAGAGTGAGAAGAAAGTGGAGGCACCTATCAGTAGAGGACTTTTTGAGGAATTTAGCTACAAAGGGCAGAAGAGATATAGGATAATAGTGGGGAAGAAAGTATCAAGTGAAGGTTTTTTTCAGGATGGGGGAGAAAAGGGCATGTTTGTAGGCAACAGAGAATGAGTTAGCAGAGAGGAAGAAATCGAAAATGAGGAAAAGTTGGTATGACATAGAGGACTGGAGGAGGAGAAGGGATGGAATGAGATCACTTGAACAAGTAGACAGGGGTTAGCCTAGTTAAGGAGCAAGGCCATTTCATCATGTGAGGCAAGGGTGAAAAGGAGATGGTGACAGAAGGTATCTGAGTGACAGGAGATGAGGAGGAGGGGAGAAGAGCAAGGTTCTCAGCTGAGAGTGGGGAGAGGGGGAGCCCTGGGAGGTTTGAGGAGGGATGAAAAGATTGGGAAACACCATTGTGGAGAGCAGGATAGTGAGTCGATAACGGAGGTATGGTAGGATTGCCTAGCAGCAGTGAGAGCACAGATGAGATTATGTAACAAAGAAAAGCAATCATGTGAGCTACAGATGTTTACCGATCAATCATAGGGAAGTATTGGCTCTCCCACGCAGGAAGCTAGAAGCTTTGGAAAGCAGTCTGAATACCCAAGGAAAAACAAGTGAACAAGATCTGGGGAGATTGGGACATTTTAGATCTGAGGGTATAGAGAAGAAATGGTAGGGGTTAGGAGGGTCAAGTTGGTCAGATACTCTTAAAGCTTCAATAAATCAGTCAACAAGCATCTATTAAGACCTAAGTCCCAGACACTGTGCTAGGCACTGTGCTATGAAACAAAAATGAAACGGTCCTGTCCTCACCCTCAAGCAATAAATGAATGAACAAAAAGTATTTATTAAGCTGTTACTGTGTGTCAAGCATTGTGATTAAGCAGCTGGGGATACAAGTACAAAAGCAAGACAATCCTTCCCCTCGAGGAGCTCACATTCTAATAGCACAGAGGAGACAACATATAGAGAAGAATGGTGGCTAGGAAGAGACTCCTGGTCTGAGAAATCACAAAGATGGCACATCAAACAATAGGATAGTCAACTGACTTATCCTTTCCAGAGGCAATGGGAGGATGGGGGTAATAAGCAAACAGTGGCTGGAAGGAAAATGACTGGGTAAACATGAGGCTACAAGTTGTAGCAAATGGAGAATCAAGTGGCTTAGCTCCTCCCAGGGAAGGTCACTGGTAGTCTGGTATGAAGGTTGCAGCAGCAGCAGTGGAGCACAGCAGAGCTTACAGTCTGTCAGGTAAAGTATGGTGTGTATACACACACACACACACACACATATGTGAATGTGTATGTGTACACAAATTTCAAACGTGTGTATGTCCCTCCATAAGACCTCTTCGTATTTTATCCAATTTGTTAAAATTTGATTCATCAGAAACTGTGTGTTGCAAAGCATCTCTGCAAAGATACACACATTAAAATGATGATATTACACTTCAAAGAGAAACTTGGGGTCTTCAAAAGCCCTGCACAATTTCTCAAATGCAAGCTAGCCCTTTCTCTTTTTCCTAGACAATTGTCCATCCACATTGTACACTGAGATATCAGTTGTATGGACAATCCATCCAACTGCACGTGATAATCTAGGCAATAGGCATCCTTCATCTAAGGGGGTCAGAAACAAAGAGAAATTTATTTGTTTTTTGGAAGTGGAAAAAAAAAATCAAATTTACTATTGTATTCCAGCAATTACAACCAAATCTCCTTCTAGTCAGCAGTCAGAGAATCTAGGCTCCTGTCAAATGTGGGCATATGAACTTTGAGGATATATGGTATGCCCAGGAAGAACTTACCTAGTATGACTCCCTGAATCCTTCTGAGTATCTCTTTAACAAGGTTAAATGTTGAATGAAGTGTGTACTCTTGCCCTGAATATTTGCCTTTCCCTCTTTTAACAGCACAATAAGGATGATTTGTTATACACCTGGGCTCCACCCTTGTTCATTTAAAGGGAAGCTGGAGAGCTACAGGATGAGAGTACAAGAGCCAGACAGAGAAATTAGAATTGAGGCCATAGAGAAAAAAGGCAGTAACAGAAAGCAGAAAAAGGGGCAAAGAGGAGGGGTTACACTCTGGACTCTTCTTTGGAAAGGAAGATTGAATATTCGTGAGGGCTCTCTAGGGTGCGGCATAGCCTTAGAGAGCAAGCATAGAAGGAGCACGAAGGGACAAAGAGGAACAAGGCTGGATTCTGACCTTCTCTGCTCTGAGTTATATGGACAATGCAGGTCTACAGAAATTCCAAGTACTTGTCCTTCTTTGGACGATTGGGACAGAAGGAATTCAATCCTAATCTGATTTTCTAAATCGAGAGGACTATATTGGCCCCTGGGGGGAAAGGACACCTATAAAAGAGGGAAGGAAAGTTGTTTTGACCGTTTATGAGTTTGGTGCAATTCCTTCACCATCTTTTTATTGGGTTAAACAATATTTGTGTTGTATTTGATGTTTTATTAGACTGTCTTATGTGAGAACTCCTAAGGGCTCTTACCCTTTTCCATATGGATATAGACATGCCAAATTACATTCCCAAAAAAACTGGTGGGAAGGGAAAGGGAAGTGAATTTATCGTGCCTACTATGTGCCAGACACTATGCTAAGTGTTTTATAAATATTATTTCATTTGACCCTCACAACAACCCTGGGAGAAAGGTGCCATTATTATCCCATTTTACATTTGAGGAAACGAAGGAAGACAAGTGACTTGCCTAGGGTCACACAGTTAGTGTGTGATGCAGGATTTGACCTCGTCTTCCTGACATCAGGTCCAGACCTGAGGAAATGAACTCCCTCCACAAATCTCAGTAAAAAGACCCCAATATTAAGCCTAATCTGTAAAACCCCAGAATTTTGGTTTTCGGTCATAAATTATATGAGGAATGGAGTTAACTCATGCAGCAGAAAGACCAGAAGCATATGTTTGGATTACGAATCCAACATCTAAATGGGTAAACTGGGGTCTAAACGTAGAGAAACAAGTCACTCTAATAAACAACCCCTGCCTTCCTCCTACCCGTTGAAAAAAAGGGTGGCCCCAGCCAGAAAAGCCGAGCTGCTATGAGCCAGGGCTCCATACACGAACGTCGACCCACCTGAGAACTGCAATTCCCAGAAGGCAGTGCCATCTCTCCATTCGGAGAGAACTACAAGTACCACAATACCACGCGCGTAGGCCGGCTAAGCGATAGGCCCGTAGACAGGGGTGGGCGGTGGGGGGAAGAAACACCAGTGCCTTTTGCTGGCACCGCCCACTGCCCGGACTCATCTTCTCAGTCTCTGGGGCTAGGGGGGCGGGGAAAGGGGCGTGTCCCAGAGTCTCTCGCGTGACAACATGGCGGTGCTGGGAGCGGAAGACCAATTGAGAATCTGTCTCGTTCTTGAGTCGCGTCTGCTCAGCGGGATTTTCCTCCCTAAAACCTCCCAGACCGGGCTGGGCGGTCTACGCCTGGACAAGCAAAAAACACTTGCGGACTGATCCGAGCCGTCGTGGTAGGCACGCCCCCATTGCGATCGCGCCCGCTGTCGCGACAGTACCCCTCTTCTCTCCCCCCGCCTTTCGCGGGGACTGCTGGGAGTGCTGCGGGGGCGAGTCTCTGCCCAGCGGTGGAGGAGCTGGGCTGAGGTGGGTGAGCGCCTCCCGCTTGTCGGTCCGGCCCTAGACGCCTTTGTCTCGGCAGGTGCGGCGCCATGCGCCCCTTACTCCCGATGCATCGGGAGCAGTACTGGATCGATGTCCCCGAGACGCCGCCCTACAACGCGCGGACCCTTCTCATCTTCTCCGGCTGGGTGCTCTTCGCCTTCTTCTTGGAGCTTGGGTGAGCGGGAGGGGGAGGGGAGTGCGGGGGACCCTGGGCGCGCGGCCCCAGGTCAGGGGTCAGGGGTCAGGGTCAGGTCCTCGGGCTGGTGACCGGCGTGGGTCGGGCGTCTTCTGTCTGACCCGCGCCGCCTCTCTCCGCAGCCTGACTGAGGCCGCCGCCAGGGAGAAGCAGTCTGGTAAGTGAAGGGCCAGGGGTGCCGAGGTGAGCCGTGCCGGCCTTCCCTGGGCAAGATGGGAGAAAATGAGGGTGGGGGGGCGCCCCCGATGAGGGATGGTGAGGATGGCCCATCTTAACGATTGGGGAACCACGGGGTGGGAGGGAGCGGAACCGGGATCAGGCCTGCTTTCTTATCAGTGATCGCTCAGTGGGGGCCTCCTCTCACACACACACGGCGTGATCTGGGGCTGGGTGCTTGGCATTTTTCTCTTTTTCCAGTAAGCACTTTGGTGTCCATGCCTTGCTGGTTGGTGGAGGACTTTGTGGTGGCTGAGGAGTGTGCCCCTTGTACCACCTTCCAGGCTGTGAGTGTACTGCACCATTCATCTACGCACTCTTCTCTCTTCCTCCCTTCCTCTCCCATCCCCCTTGCCCCTCTCTCTTTTGGTGGAAGAGCCACTCTTCTTCTCCTTCTTGGGTATCTCTGAGTCATAGGGCTCAACAGCTGTCTCAAAGCCCTATTGGCCGTTTCCCAGCCACATTTTAATTATTCCCTCTATTCCCCGTTCCTCCTCCACAGAAAACCACTCCTGAATGTGGAACCACTGGCTTTGTGGAGAAAATCAGTTGTTCTGTGTCCAAGAGAGATGAGTTCAAAAGGTCAGTATCCCCTTACCTTTCTTTCCTGTGCCAAGGCCAGACGCTCCATTGTAGCTGATGTGACAAATTACTCCTCCTCTCCCTGTTCTCCCCCCCCCCCATTTCTCTTTTAATGGGTTTATTGGAATGGGAGTTAAACTGAGAGGGGCTTAATCAAATTTTGACGTTTGCACTACCGGCTGTGATAGACTGTTTCCCTGCTGTCTCAGCTGCCGCTCAGCAATGATGGAGCGACACCTGTTTTGGAAGTTTGAGGGGGCTGTGGTGGGAGTGGCTGCAGTCTTTGCCTGCCTTGTGATCCTTCGTCAGAGATCACTGGACCGAAAGGCCCTGGAAAAGGTCCGAAAACAGATTGAGTCCATATAAGCCCCCAGCCCCCTGCTATCCCGACATTCAAGCCTTTTGCCCCAACAGGGCATGGTGGAGAAGGGTAACAGCTGGCCTGATGGGGAGAAGGTTGTATGGGGTGACCCTGGCCCTGGAACCCTATTCCTTTATCTTCTTCCTTTGCCCTTCACCTTTTGTTTCCTTGATAATGAAAGAATAAAATAAAAACAATCCCACAACTAATGATAGTTTTGTTTGTTTGGGGGTAGGGGGGTCAGAACAAAAAAAATAGATTGTGGGAGGAAGCTATGTCCCCAGTCTCCTCAGCTTTGTTTCCTTTCTCCCTCTACCATGGTTGAGGCTTAAGTGAGTCCATATGAGCACAGACTACTAGGAGAGCCATGAAACGAAATAGAGGTTAAGTTTATAAACCAGGTAGAAGTTACAAGTTTATTTTAAAGCAGCACACCTCTTCTCTTCCCCCCTCCCAAATTGCTCCACTTATCAGAGCTCAAACCTTTCACCTTGTAATATCCCGTTAGGGAAGCAGAGAAGAGTACTACCTCACTTTCTCTAGAGTAACATCTTACTCCAGCCTTCTGCCATAGGGTGTGAAGACTGGTGGGGTGGGGGAGTGGTCAGGGGTAACCCAATCCCCAGAGTTGAATGATTTCTGTGGTGGCCTCCCAGGCCCTTCACCTTTTTACCAAATCTGCCTTACATCTCATCAGCATGCTGCACAGGTCTGCCCCTCTCCCTGTGGCCTGGCTGCTTCCCACCCTCCTTCAGCACTCCCCCTGAGGAACCATTGACACCCCTATTTCCAGGCTGTGATACCAGGGTCCTCAAGCTGTCAGGCACATCCTTGTGAGTCAAGATGTTTCTGGAGATAACTGTGAAGAGTGAAGGAAAAGGTTTAGGGGGAGAATTTTCCTGGGCTCCAGCCTGTTGCCCTTTGCTTGGCAAAGATGACCTTTCATCACCCACACCAATAGTTCCTACAACACCTCACCTCCACTAGGCTTGTACGTATCAGGCCCAGTTGGCTGTTCCCTGGGAAAGGGGCTGAAGCTGGGAAGGATGATGAGAGTTAAGGAGAGTATGAGGATCTAACAAAAAGGAGAGAAATCTGGTGTCAAAATGAGGGAATGGAAGGAGGAAAAGGGGATGACAAATTTAGATGGGGTTTGGGGAGGAACCATTACCAGGACACAAGTGCTGGTCTGGGCAGCCTTGTTAGAGGTCTGAGCAATGAGTGCCTGGAGCTGTTGAAGTTCGGCCACTAAGGAGCTAGGAGGGGAGGAAAAAAGAGACAGTGTGTTTCTGGCCTCTGAGCATGGCAGGTAACACCTGTATGCCCATATCTTCTCCACCACCTCTGTTTCACTCACACATTGTGTCTCTCCAGCTCCTGCAGCTTCTTCTGCAGCTGCTGATTCTGCACCGAACAGGCAGCCACCCTGGGATGAGGGGGAAAGAGACTTAGGGATGGGGATCACATGGTGCCCAAACCAGGTGAGCAAGTCAACGCACATTTGTTTACCCACATAATCAGCAAAGCACTAAAGTTCCTTCCACTTGCTAGGCATTGAAGATAAAAAGACAAAATTGAAACAGTCCCTTCCCTTAAGGTTACATTCTATTGGGAGAGAAAAGATCCTATATTAATACAAAATAAATACAAGGTGGTTTTGGAAGGAAGAGCACTAGTTCCTGGGGGAACCAGGAAGGACTGTAAAAGATGGTGATTGAGCTAAGCCTTGAAGGAAACTAGGAATTCTAAGAGACTGAGAGGTGAGGAGGAGAAAGGAGTGTATTCTAGGTATAGCAGCCTCAGTCTCTGCTGAGCTCCACTCCTATATCACCAAATGCCTACTGGACCTTTCAAACTAAATGTCCCATAGACATCTCAAACTCAGTGCATCCAAAACAACTTCTTTTCTCCCAAACCCTCTCTCCTAAACTTCCCTATTTTTGTCAGACTCACCAATATTCTTTCAAGGAAGCTTTGTCTGGGTCAAATACAGTGTGCAAGAATGAAGGCCAATTAGTCCTACATAATGTAGGAAGGGGAATAATATAGCATGAGGCAGAAAAGATGGGCTGAGACCAGGTTATGAAAGGCTATAAATGCTGGAGGAGTTGTTTTTAATCCTAGGGGGCCATTGGGAGCCAATCACTTTCAGTTGTGTGAAGAAGCAATGAATGTGAGGAGAGACTTGGGGCAGAGACACCAATTAGGAGGCTATTACAGTCATCCAGGTGAGTGGTGAAGGCCTGGCATGAAGTGATGGCGTATGTGGGTAGTGAGAAGACGTTGGATGAGAAAGATGTAAAAACAAAGTCTGGCAACTGATTGGATGTAGGAGAGGGAGAAGAGTGAGGAGTCAAGGATGGATAATGGTGAGATTATAAACTTAGGAGAATAAAAGGATGATTGTGACTTTGACACAAATAGGAAAGATTGGAAGGGGGGGTTGTTTGGGGGGGAAAGATGGAGAGTTCTATTTTAGGTGTATTGAGTTTGAAATGTTTGTGAGACATCTATTTTAAAATGTCTGGTAGGCAGCTGGTGATATGGGACTAGAGCTCAGAAGAGAAAATAGGACTCGATATATAGATCAAGGAGTCATCTGCATAGAGATGATAGACCCATGGGTGATAGTCACCAAGTGAGAGAAAAGAGAAGAGGGCTTAGGACATTGTCTTGGCATACCCCACAATTAGGGGACATGATATGGATGATAAACCAGCAAAGGGGACTGAGGAGCAGTCAGATAGGAGAAGGATGAGGAAGTATAGTCATGGAAATCCAGAAAAGACAGTATCTGAGAGGAGAGGGTGGCAATTGGTATCAAATGCTGGAGAGAAGAGATGAAGAAGATGGGGATTAAGAAGAGGCATTCAGATCTGGCAAATGAGAGATGATTGGTAACTGAAGAGAACAAAGTATGAGTTTGCTGCCCATGTGATGTGTACCTTGAAATGGATTGAGGAAGAGGCTAAGGGCTCACATTGGGGTATGATGAAGTATGTACCTAGTCTCCAGACCATCTATGTATTCTTTCTTGCGTCTCCGGCTGTCCTGAGCAGACTGCTTGTTTCTGATTTTCCTTCTCACCTTCTTAAGGACTCTTTCTTCTGCCTGTGGACCCGGAGGAACAGGGCTGAGTGTTGAGCTCTTAGCGCCACAGTGCTTAGTAAAATGCCCAGTACAGAGTAGTAGGCTGTTAATAATTCTCTTGACATTTGAGTTGAACCCTTACTATTTCCCCAGTGTTTGCTGAGGTCTTGGCTCCTCAGGGGACATGATGAGGACCTCACTGTTAGTATGTTCAAAGATGGGGTTACCTTGGTGAGGGGTAGGTGGTAGGGCAGAGATACTCCTTCTTGTCCCAATAGCCGCTTCTCTTCATCCGTCAGGAACAGTGCTGGGCAGTGCAGCTGGTGGGTGACAGAAAAGAGAAGGAGATGAGAAGGAGAATTCCCCCCTGTTAGCATACACACCTCTCTACTTGCCCTTTCCCATCTGGAAGCTCCGAACCAGTGGGACTTGCAGCAACATGGAACAGGAACTGAGGCCTTTCTTTTTGCCATTCAATTCATGTTAAAAACAAACATTTCAAGTCCTGGGAATTTCCAATGGACAGTTCCCAAGACATATTTTTCCAGCAATTACTTCAGATACTTGGGGAAGAAAGACATCTGAGAAGGGCATAGCTACTGAAATTATAAGGGAAGGGCATCAGAAAATGGTAATGATTGAAACAGACCCCAGGAGCACTCCTCCTCTCCCATGGGAAGGCATGGTGCCTCTTTTAGGGAACTCCCAATCTAGGGGCATTTTCAAGGGCCTTGAACTTGCAGTCAAGAGAGAACTGGGTTTGAATCCTGGTTTTGGCTTACTAACTGTATGACTCTGGGCAAGTTCCTTAACTTTTCTGATATTTAGTTTTCTCATCAACAAATGGGGATATTTGCCTTACTTTACATCACAGCACTGGGACAGATGGTCTTAGGAATGGTGACAGCTTCCACGAAGTGGGAAGTGAAGGGTGCTGGGCCCAGGAAAGCTGTATAGTTCTAGTTTCCAGCTGCAGCTTTCCTGGGGCAAAGGCCTGCCTGCCAAATGGGATTTCCAGCAGGGACTTTATACCACATCTCAAGTGAAAAGACTCTGGAGAAGGTATTAAGGGTGTAATGTCTTTTCACCCAAGGGCTTTAGCAGCTATAGGCTGTGGAGGGAGGGCTCTAAGCAGAGGAGAAGTCTGAGTGCCTCAGTTCTCCCCAGGAAACCCCTTGATGACACCTTCCCATCCATGCTGGGATTTTTTTCTTCATCTCACATTTATCTTGTGATTTGCCTTGATCCCATGAATCATCTTTGGGCTGTAGTTTAGAATATAGTTCATCATTAGTAATAGCAACCAACATTTAAAGGGCACTTTAAGATTTGAAAGCATTTCACATATATTTTCTCATTCACAACCCCGAAAGGTAAGTCCTCTTATTATCCCTGAAAGGTAAGTGCTCTTATTATCCACATTTTACAAATAGGAAACTGAAGCTTAGAAAGGTCAAGTGACTTTCCCAAGGTCACCCAAGAAGTGTCTAGGGCAGGATTTGAAGTCAGGTCTTCCTGAATCCAAGACCAGCCCTCTATCTGCAATGTTAGAGATTTCTAAAATGCTTTAAGGTTTACAAAAGCACTCTCTTCAAAGCAGAACTGTGAAGTAAATAAAGTAAAAATACAGTTAATAAATCAAAATCAGGATTCAAACCCAGTTCTCTCCTGACTGCAAATTCAAGGCCTTTGACAGTACCTCTAAATTGAGAGTCCCCTAAAGGAGGCACCACTTCTTCTCAGTGAGGAGGCGGTGTGCTCCTGGGGAGTCCCCTAGTCAGTAACTCTTTCACTATTGACTCTGTGGAACCTTGGGCAAGTCACTTAAACTCTTTCCTTATCTTTAAAATTAGAGATAATTGTATTTGCTCTGCTCATCTCATAGTACTGTTGTAGAACTCAAACATTACTCATGTTAAGCACTTTTGTAACTTATAAATTACTGTCCATTTATGAAATGTCATTACTGGCCCTATTCCATATGCAACTCTGTGGAGTGGATCCCAAAGGAACCATTGGACATTTCCCCGTTTGCCTGGGAATTGCTTTTCTATGTCAGGGAAAGGAAAGTGGCTTGAGCTTTTGTACTTCTCCTAAGTCTGCCTGTCCTTTGGGAAGG